AGCCAGATTAGGCTCTAAGATTTCATTCGTGGGAGAATTAGATGATACACGATAACGTGCTATACGTTGACGCAATTTCGATTTCATAACCACTAACGACAATCAACCCATTTCTTCTTCCATTGCGGCTTCTGACTCACATTCGGGAGAATGTGCTACAAACTGTAAACGAACATTCCCAAGATCAACCCTCTCGAAAACAAAGTCAACCGCGAAAAAGAGAATTACGCTCTTCAAGCACAAAGAAAAAGATTTTTGACTTGGCAACAACAAACTTAAATCTTCCATCATACGAAGATTAATAACATGAAGTCTAGAAAATGTTGACTGGTTTCCTTTTTTTACATGTTCTCACTTATGTAGCCCAATAACTAAGATATTATCAACTTTTAAATAAATGTTGCACATCACTATTCATAACTAATATGTCCCCATACCAACACTGGTAATAAGAGGGGCGAAGCCCATATCACCATTATCGAGAAACAGCACATCTTTATCAGACTCCAAAAAAGCGATTAAGAAATATTTGACATTTTAATTTGGACAAGGAGAAATTTTATTACTTCATGAGATAATAAATGCTGAGATATTCTTTTAAAACTTTTTTAGCTCACTCTGCACCCTTACCTCTACAAATACAGAATACTCGGAATGCATCGATAAAAGGCCGATCGATTTGCAATGTAACACAATTAAGGGTTTGCACTTTAACTTGAGAGATAAGATTTTTTAATTCAACTATTACTATGTCGTCGTCATTTGCTAATAATCCAGCCATTGCCGACTTGATTGAATCCTCCTTGGAATGCAAATATGAACGCTTAAGACTGAAATGGATTCCTTTCGAGGAAATCATCAACGTTGAACCAACTCAAATTGACAACGTTTACTACGCTATTCATGATGGTCTGACGATTACGCTGGTATTACTTGGAAGTAGCGAAGAATGCACAGCAGCACTTGTGTGTGAGTTGGCCAGAATATACTCACTTCCAACACCCAAGTACAATAACAATGGCAATAACTTTCGACGATACTCCAAATGGCTTAATTGTCGCAACGAACTCATAAGAGGGTTTACCAAGTATGATGATAACTATTACATGGTTGCTGATATACGCTTTTACCATTGTTATTCTCGATATGGCTTCTGCTCCACATGTGGAATACTCCGATGTAGTCCCTTGTGGTGCATTTGTGGTTATAAACAATTATCCGATGGGTGGTCTAGCAACAATCACCAACTCGATGACTTTATTAAGAAATCTCAACTACAAACAAACTCACCAAATGACGCCCATTTGGAATGGATTCCATTCGATTGTATTGATGTTGGGAAAGATTATGCATACTTGAATGGTCTACCTACTTATGCTGAGGTTAAATTGATTCCACTTGAGATAACAGACGAGATACATAATTTATATTATGCCGAGGTAAACTATTTACTTATGCATCATGTTTATTGAATAGTTAAAAATAATTATTGACATATTATTATGTATCATTTCCACTAGTTATGTGATAAGCATCCTGATATTCTTACCACAGATGTTTGGGTTACCATCGGATTTACATACAGAACAAGCGAACAGAAGTATTGTCTAATAAGAGAATATTGGCAGGGTAGATTATGTCTGGCGTGTACAGGGCGATTACACCCCAAGATAAATCTATTCTGTCTCCAATGTAATGCACCAAATCCTCCTGATTGGACGACTGGTAACAAGTCATTGGATTCATTTATCATAGAGTCGTGGAGTAATGTAAAGAATGAATATGATGCGTATATACAATGGATAGAATATTCTCTATTAACAAATGTACAAGAGATGACGCCATTACGCCATGGATGCACGCATATAGCAGAATGGAATGAACTGACCCGTGTAACACTCAAAAAAATAGTTGACGAGCAATTATCGGATTTTCATCAGGTAATTATTCACGTGTAAACAATGCAATCAATAAGTGCGTATCATGCGTTTAATTAACCAGTGTTATAACGTCGTATTCTGTTTACTCAAAATAGTTAACTAGGGAATACCCGACAGTATTAACACCTGATAATATCTGGATAATTGGAATCACCCAGGAGCCATCTACTCAGGAATATTATCTAGTTTTCTATTACGACGTGTATGCAATACTGGATACATTAATACGAAATAACGATACTGTAAAGCACATGCAGTATACTGACTTTTATGAACTCAAAGAGATCGGATTTGGTGGTTACGGAACAGTTTATACTGCCAAGTATAAAAAGTATTCAGAAGTAGAGCGTATGAAGGAGGAAACTGTTGTACTCAAACGGTTTAAAAATTTTGATAAAATGCCGGAATTATTTATTTCCGAGGTAAGCAATGATTGGTAGTATTATTAAACTTACATTTATATTTAAGCTGACTCTATTTATTTTCATTTGATAGTTCCGAAATCATGCCAAGTGCGTGAATAGTATATTCCTTGAAATTTATGGAGTGACACAAGACCCAAAGACAAACGAGTACATGATTGTTATGCAATATGCTAACAATGGCAGTCTTTTGTCTTATTTGGATCGGAATATTAACAAATTGACGTGGTTGCATAAATTACGGCATTTGGAAGATATTGCATGGTATCTGCGTTTTATTCATTCTGTGGCGGGATTAGTGCATTGTGATCTTCATGGCGGAAACATTGTTATAAATGACAATGCGCGTGATGAGATAATAACATCATACATATGCGATCTTGGTCTTTCACAATCGGTGAATTCACGCGAATCAAATTCAACCATTCGAGGGGTTTTGCCATTCATTGCACCGGAAGTCTTCCATACCTGCAAATTTACTCAGAAATCGGATGTGTACTCATTTGGCATCATTATGTATTTGATTGCTACTGGTGAACCACCATTTAGAGATTGGTCGTTTGACAAATGTTTGGTGATACGTGTCTGTGAGGGACTGCGACCGTCGATGCCTGATTCTGCGCCAGAGGAATACAAGAAACTTGCCGAGCGGTGTTGTGATGCTGATCCTGATAAGCGTCCTGATGCAGGGAGACTTTGGGATAATATTTACAAGCTTATTGGAGATGTAGAAAAGGATAAATCTGATGACAACGTGTGGAATGCCGTTTATCATAATGATGTAAAGCAGTTATCACGTCTCGAGAAAGAGAGTAAATACTCTAGTAAACTCTTACATACTGGAGATTTGCCTAAACCGAGAAATAGCTATGATTCAGCTGCAGGTATGTTACGCACTGGTACGAATAAAGTCAATTTACGATGTTAACACTGAGCATTTCTTGTATTTAGAGACTCAACCTCTTTTTGAAGACGTTTAATTCAGCGGGCTTATTTATACTGTATTTACAGTATACAAGCTTTCCAAATACAAATGTACACCTGCTTCAACCCCAAAAACTCGAATTTTGACCGGCATTTAAAAAATTTTCTCCCCCCCTAAATCGATCGATGAATCATATTAATTTTGGTTGGTGCACCAGTGGTGCACCAGCAGATCTGCAAATTTTACCCTAACTTTAACTAACATTATAGCTAATATGTGGTGCACCAGCAGATCTGCAAATTTTACCCTAACTCTAACTAACATTATAGCTAATATGTGGTGCACCAGCCAAAATTAATATAAATCATCGAACGTCGATCGGCTTTAAAATTACCAACCTACTCCTAAATCGATCGTCTAAATTGGTTGAAGCAGGTGAAATGTGATTTTTTTTTTTCGATCACGTGTCACTATAATAGTTTCGTTATTATTTTAAGGCTACAGTTTAGTATCGATGTCACATACACTCACTAGGAAATAGTGTTGATCTTCAAAAGCGCTATACGTATTTACTACAGTATGTGGTCACAACACCTATTACTATATTCAATATAAATATAATTGGTTATACTTTCGAGAATATATTAAATCCTGAAGCGGCAGTATCTATTTACACATGTGAAACCGCAGCAGTTGCCTTGTTCGGGCGTCCCATTACGGCTGCAATAGAAGCGTCAGCGATGCTAACCGACCGGCTGGCGCTTAAAATTTTCCTATTTTGTATTATAAAGTCTAGAAATCCACTACCAATAACGGAACCATTAATCGATTAACATTGTGAAATGAACAAGAGCCTAGTGATGTGAACCACAAAAGTTGGGAAGCCCGCTCGGATGGTTTTATGTAATTGCCAAGGTGTAAGAATTTGTAGTATAACAGAATTTGTTCAAACTTATGAATGTGATCTGGCTTAATATTAAGCCATTGCAATTCAATGTTACGATGTTGGTTCCTACGTTTGATAACATAAATGTGTATATTAAAGTATACATGTTACAACTTTATAGTTAGTCTTAATTCCAAACATATATATAAGCAAAGACAAGCCTATACTGTAGTTCATAATAACATACAAACACTCAAAGGCAAAGATGCGGCTGTCAAATATAAAAACTTTCTCTTAATGAATATTATAATAAGACATCCATCAAACATTTTGATACAAACAAGACAAAAGATTACCACCAACATTTTGTAATCGAGTTTGCCAGAGCATACTCACTGCCGACAAGTACAATAAAGCGACACAAGTTCAGAAGATATTCCGCACGGCCCGAATTTCGCAACGGACTAATAATCGGATGTGACGATAACTGTTACATGGTTGGTCATTCATGCTTTTACCACTGCTATTCTCGATACGGATTCGATACTCCGATATAGTCCCGTGTGGTTATTTGTGGACGGACTAGCAACAATAAGCAACTCGATGAGTTTATTAAAAAATCTCAATTACAAACAAATTCAGTAAATGACGCCTATTTGAAATGGATTCTATTTGATGATGTTGAGATGGACATTACAAATACTTGAATGTTTACCTACTTCGGAATACATGGAAATGATTCCATTTGTGAAACGGATGGTTCATATTCTGACAAGGTAAACTATTCAATTATGCATAATGTTTATTGAATTATGTGGATAATTATTTTACTCCTGTTGTTCCTGCTGCTGTTCTTCCTCTTGCTTGTCTTGATTCTCCTGCTGTTGCTGCAACTGACGTATAATCAACAAGTTAGGCAAAAAACACACATATACATACACAACCAAATGCATTCACGGCGATCGGCAACTCACTTGCTGCTGTCTCCATGCATGTGCCATAGCCAACAACTTGAAATTAGGCTGTTGCGCTTGATCATCGGGGAATATGTAATCAAAGTATTCCTCCCACGAAACACCAGCCTGTCCTTGGGTTTCGTCCAACCGACGTCTCTGTCTGACAACCTTTGGCATTTTTGCCTCTACAGCCGATAACGATTCAGTCGTGCCATACTCCTTCTCAAACTCTTTCCATGACTCTAGCAAAAGCACTCGCTAAAGTTGAATATTATTCGATCAGTATATTGCTAGTATAATTTCACGTATTGTTATCAATCAATGTCATGCTCACCTCCTCTTTAAGTTCTCGTTCCTTCATGTTGTCATAGGCTCTTTCAAATATTTTCCTGGACCTTTCTACTGCAGACTGTCCATATGCATCTTCAGCACCAGCTTCAAAACGAGCATAACTGACCCATACTTTAACGTGATTTGTCTTCTCTAATAGTCTTTCATAAAGCTGTCGAGTCTTTTCGAATTCTTCTTCCGAAAACTCAAAGTCAATGTATGCCTTCCACAATAACTCTGGCATGTCTAATACTGGCTGCTCTATTGCTAATTCAAATATGGCTCGGCATCTGTCATAGTCACCCAACATCCGTTCTAATTCGGCGAATTTGATCCATGCATAACAATTGGCCGGAGCATGTTCCAGGTATTTAGTATATAATGTTCGACATCGATCGAATTCGCGAAGCTATTGATATTGAAAGACGAACATTTTGATAAACAACCAATTCAGAACAGTTCATTAACTCGTCGTCTTGATTACCTGTAATTCAAATTCTATATATCCCTTGAATAATCGGTCTTTAGGACACATGCCTATACGTAGAAAGAGATTTATAAGTACGTATATTAACAACGGACGAACATCTGTTTGCGACAAATACCTATTGCTCTTCCCAGTGTTTTCCGCGCTGTTTGTAAATTAAGTCTACGTATTTCAAACTGAGCGTATAATAACCATATCTTGGCAAATGTAAATTTTTTGTGTGGTATCAACTTTAAGCATTCTAAATAAATTTGTCTAGTTCGCTCAAAATCCTATTATGGAATAATCATATGTTATAAAGTTATGATACAATAGAAATAACTCTGGTATGTACCAACCTTTGTTTCTAGTTCCTCGTATAAAGCGTAGTTGATCCACAAGTATATATATCTCCTCCAGAATCGCTTTTCCTGCGTAGGCGGTACTTGTGCGATAGCCCGTTCATATACTTCACGCACCTTGTTTACATCATTTGCACTTTCTTCGAGTCGAGCATAATCAAACCACACGTCATAATTCTTGGGGTTGGATTTTAGCTCCTGCAATATGCTTGATATTTAATCACTATGCTGTTATAGGAAATAACATAGATACTGGACTGATAACACTTACTTCTTCGTATTGTACTCGACGCTTTCCTACCACTACATCCTCGATGCCCTCTTTATCTCCGTATTGTTTTTCAAATTGGGTATAAGAATTGTATAAAGATTCCGACGTGGAACGAGGAAGTCTGTCTAATGCAAACTTGTATATAACACGCGCCCTTTCAAACTATATAGCAAATGACAATAGTCTCGATGAGTTATCATTTAAAAGTAATTATCCGTAATTTTCCAACTAACCTCTTTTAACCTCGTCTCAAACTTGGCAAATGCTATAAATATCTTCTGATCCATATGATCGTCGCCCAATATTTCTATTGCCTGAGCAAAAATCTCTCGACACTTTTCTAGGCCAAACGAAAAACAGTAACCGATCAGTCAACATTTAATCATAGATTAATCAAGAGCGTTAATGACTCACCCAGATTATTCTGTTCTTCCTCGAATTTAACCCATTTGAGCCAATTCTTTGGTTGCGGATGCGTATTAACAAATCGCTCGTATATGAGGCGACATCTATCATATTCTTTGTATCTCTTTTCAAATTTGATGTAAGCATTCCATGCACTCTCGTCTGGTTCCCATCGCATCCATCTTTCGAATATCTGTCGGGCGCCCGCTATATTACCCAGTACTTCTTCCATATAAGCATATTTATACCTGTAGTATAGTAATTAGATAACAGTAACTGCATAGCAATCATACAGTAAAGATAATGTTATATACCAGAACTGATCAACCCGTGGCAAAAGAGTAACGGCCCGATCGAACAAGTTTCTGGCATGATTAATGTTCCTATTCTTCATTTCCATCTCAGTGTACTTTATGTACAGCGTGACATTGCGCGAATCCACATCCAATGCTCTTTCGTATATTGAGCGAGCACTAAAGAAACAAAAGTAATAGAATCGAATTAATTTCTGATCTAACGAACAAACGAACGAACAAACGAACGAACAATCATTTACAAATTAGGTAAAAAAAAGATAAAAATAAATTACAAGCGTTTCATACCGATCAAGCTCCTTCTGACTTTCTTCCCAAGCGGCATATTTTAACCAGCTACCAATATTCAAGCGGTTACGTCTGATCGCATCTTCATACTCTTTCCGTTTACGACCTCTGTACTCTGAAAGCTCTTCCAAGTCAGAAATCTTTTGTCTTGGAGCTTTCTTGGCAGCTTCCTGACGCTCCTTGGCCTCACGCAGAATCTGTTCTGCTGTGATTTGAATTGGAGCCGGATTCTTATTCTTAATCTGCACAGTTTGATGTTACGTAAAGAGATCTAATTAGCGTGAGTTGAGTTGGCGAGAAGACTGAGGCGGAGATGCACATACTTTAGGCGGACCACGCTGTTGCTTATAGAGATTAGGTACTTGCGAAGGATCCATTTTATAAAGTGTTTTTCTTCAAATGGCACCAAAAATTTCTGTCGATCAATTAGTTCGATCAATTAGTAGTAATTTTTATAGTCACATGATAAATATCGATGTACCAGAACGCATGCCTATTATTATATCCATCCTATTAATAGCGAGAAACGTTTACAGTTTTGTGAAGAAAGGATTTAAAGGACTGAAAAGACGGTATTAATATGCTATCGTAAAGATCGAATCAATCGATTTGTTCAATATATCACGTGATACTATAGAAATTTGCAGGCTATGAGCGACTTTATTATGCACAAGTTCTGTCTTCATTACAAGGTTATAGATTCTAAATGTCACAACGTTATAACGATCGTTATTTGTGGCGTCGCGTGAACAGAGTTTATAGCAAACTATTTTGCAAGCAATTGATATCGCTTCGATTCAAGATGAATTACTGCATATTCCTGATTACGCGAGAGAAGAGATGTTGTATTTATTTTTTAGATAATCGCGCACGCGGTGGAAACGCATTATTGCATGTAACATGGTAACATAAGGAAGTGCTTGTTACATAGCCTGCTTATTGTTTATTATGCAGGTATTTATGCGTTTCATGTAATAATGCAAAAAGTGGGAGGACAACATTGGGAAAAAAAAAAAGACATCATACTAATACTAGAGATATGAGGGTTGTTTATCGAGAAAGAGGGCAGAATTCCCACTCTCAAGATATCATACGCGTTCGCCTGTATCAGATAGATCGGTCATTGCCAATGATATAACCATTTGGTTGTTTACAAGATGGCAAACCATTTTATATTTAGTCGACATACTCCTGCAGGGCTAGTGCTAATAATAAACTAGACTGTAATCACGTGGTAAAGATAATCCTCCATCTTACCACGTGATGGTAGACCTAATCCTACAACTCTCTACTCTTAAATGGGATATCGTGGTGGTCACTCAACAGGAGACAAACAAAGACAGTGACAGAATGATGAAAGGTTCTAGTCCCCGATTACGCCATTACTCAATAAACTAAATACAAGCACGTGAATTCTGATTATGGAATGACGGTGTAAACAATGTAAGATCCAGTTTGATTCATCGCCCATTGCGTAGTATGTGCGGATCAACAGCCCGCAGATTGTCTTTTAATGAGTTGATTGAACTGTTCCTTTGTTCCATCCTGAGAAATCGATCATCCGGCAGCATAGAAAGACACTTCATATTAGCAAGTGGTAGTAGCGGTGGTGATCAGTGGTCAGTGGCAAGTGGCTAATAATCGATAGCCAGTGAGCTTGGTGTGTGATGGCGGGTGTAATGGTGTGTGTAATGGCAATTGATACCTGCATGCATCTATGTTATATCATATGATATACTGTATATCTGTTATCCCACCACATCATCCAATATCTACTAGCCAAGTTTTTTTTTTTCTCTCTCAACTTTCATATGAGTGCGTTTCACAGAAAACTACTCCTTTTTCGCCTTTTTTTCCCCCCCTCTTTTACCAAGCCATCATAATCAACAACTCATTAAACATAATAAAGTAAATACGAATGATATATTATTCGGATATTTACCCGGTGTGAAAGATAACACGAAATTTATTATTGCTATTAAATATTTGCTTGTTGTGTTGCGGTTACTGATTCGTTATCGTGTGTCATCTTGTTTCAAAAAGAAAAAAAAAAAAAGTTCCACCGCACATCATTCTTAATTTATGCTTGAAATTATTGGAATCTTTGTTTGTCTGTGTTTCAGCTGATAACAATTTGTACTGGGTTCAGCCATCCACATCCCTATTCCTTATTTGCCCTTTTTTTTTTTCTGATTTGATTTCCATTCCCTATATAAACGCAACCTCGAAAACAGAACATTCTTACGCAGTTTGCTTCCCACACTTTCTGCTCTTTACCTTCGTTTCCTCTTTTCTTATCTCTCCCCCATACGATTTGACAAGCATGGCTAATCTTCAAACCCAATTTAAGAGTTACAACGCTAAACTCGACAAAGAACTCTCAAAATACTCGATATTCAATACAGTCGAGAAGCGTACCAATGTCCCAAAAACTTATTTGGCTCTCGGTGCTGGTGCTTTCGTCTTTGTTCTCATATTCTTTGACTTTGCCGGGCAGTTACTGAGTAATTTGGTTGGATGGGTGTATCCTGGTAAGTTAAGCCTGCCCCCCCCCCCCCAAAAAAACATAGCCAACGTATTTTTCACTTTCGCGCGCGTGTGTGTGAGTGAGTGTGAACATGGCCCAGTTTTTTCGTTCATCTACACTCACCATTACATTTCACCGTCATATTGTAGCTTATCGTTCCTTCCAAGCTATCGAAACAGCCGACAAGACAGATGATACTCAATGGTTGACATATTGGTATGTTGCTCACGTGATGCGACTCTGACTGCGAAAAAAAAAACCAAACTGCATCGACAAAAATACTAATAATAAATGTCCATCTATGTTAGGGCTGTCTATGGCTTTGTTGCCTTGGTAGAATTCTTCTCCAACATCATCTTATACTGGGTACCATTCTACTATCTTGTCAAGACTCTATTTTTCTTATGGTAATTTTTACACATATCGACACTTTTTGCAAATTGTACAGTTTTATTAATCATGTTCTACTTTACAAACCATCTTGATCTCTTTTTCCGTGCAGGCTTTTCCTTCCTCAATTCAAAGGTGCCGAGACACTTTACACCAAATTCCTTCGACCCGTACTCCTTCAATATTCCGGTGAAGTGGATGCCGGTCTCAACAAACTCAAGGCCAAAGTCCAGGCTGCGACTAAGGAAGGTGTTTCCTCTCTTGTCGATGCTACCACCAAGATTGATTAGAGAATGTCTTATGAATCGTAGCTAGAGCATTCATCGTATATACATACATATACATATATATATATCTCCAATCATCTCTTTATTTGGCTGACGACTTGAATCTCCCTAGCTGTCTGGTCATGTCGACTATCGATGCCATGGGAGTATGGCTCAGTCGAGTGATATAAAAGTGTTATCAGTCTGTTTGCATATACTGTAAAGAAAAAAAAAAGGAAGAAAACTAGGAAATAAAAACAAAAAAGTGTGTACATTGATTTCATTAATTTCCATCCGAAAAAATATGATTTTTCTTATTAATTATGATGAGTTGGTATACATATGATGCCTTGCCTATATATATATATATAAAAGTATTCAGCGCGTGCCATAAAAGAGTAGTATTCTAAATTTTACATGAATTCTTGCACTAAAGCTACACAACTCTATCTATCTACTCTTTGTATTAAGAGTGTCGATATTATGACATTACCAAAAAGAGTCTTGTGAGAGAGAACCGTCCTAAACGTATTTGCAGTTATACAACTAACATTTCCAAAAAGTCTATTAAGAATCCCTTACGAGAGAAAACCAAATCCTGGAATCGTTATATAACTCCACGTTCAACGTTCTCATCATTCCTACTCCCATTTCCATTTTCCACCAACCCATTCTCAATTGTTATCCCACTACTCCCAATTGCGGGTGGCAGCTTTACCCATCCCATCTCAACAAAAAGGTCATATATTTTCAAGAGAATATCGCCTTTGGAAGGCTGTTCCACCAACTCTTTTGCTTGTTTCCTCTGTAAATGTCCACCCGAACGGGCATATGCTTGGAGAAGCTTTTCTTTGAACACCATATACGGTTTGGGATGTATACATAGATGCTCGCATAATTTTTTCTCTGCAGGAAGGAGGAGGTCAGCACCTTCCAAGTCGTCTAACGAAGATGTGGGTGTAGATTTGCGAGAATGTTTCGAGGAAGAATTCGCAGTCTAGTGGTTGAAGAATACGGGTTGTAGCCGGTAAACAATCAAGCGTATTCGTACGGTAAAACAACACAATCTACAATGACTTACGTCCGTTGCTCGCACCGGTGGGACATTCGCAGCATATTTAGCAGCCAATCGATCACTAGCGATTGACATGCTCGGACGTGAAGCCGTCTCGCGAGATTGCTCCTACACATGAATCGACGTGAGATTTCCAAATGCAGTATTAAACCATTATATTTCTTTCGCATATATACAACTCACGCGTTCAGATTTGGCTTTTTCGTACAGTTTTCCATCTTTCAAATTGGTGATCCCCATCTTACGCCATTCTTGTAATTTCGCTATCTGTTGTCGAAGTTGACACTCTCCTAGAGTTTGCGTTAATTGACGGATTACGCAAAGTGGTATTTTGAGTCAAATTAATATTTTAACATATCAATTCGTAGCAGCTATGGCCCCGGACACACTTACTCATTAAACCTTCAACAAATGACGTGTAGTCTTTGTTCGTCAATATGCGAGCAAACGGTTTTGTTTTCGCCACTAGTTCTTTTTCTTCTCTCGGTCTCTTCTTCTCATTCGCCACATTCTACGTAATCACAAGAAATTAGACACGTTAGATTAAAACTGACATTTGACGATAGCAAGTTACAGCTTTTAAATCCTCGTCAGAATCAGCACACCTTTCTGTAATCCAATAAGCCATGCTCGTTTATCACATCCTTTTTCTCACGTCGTCTATGCAGTTTCTTGTTGTATATCTCCAACATTTCTATTTTCAATTCCTTGTCCTGTTTAGAGTCCTCATCTATGAATTCAATGTCCTTTACCAATTGTTCAGCATCGTTGTCCGTTTCTTGTTCAAATTCATTACGCTTTGGCATATAACCATGGATCTCATGTTCTGCTGGCAAACTTTGTACTCGCTACACGTGATAGGTGAATCGATAAAATTTAATAATGAAATAATTTGTAAAGGTATACGTGTAGTGATCGTACTTGCCTCCCCTTCTGGTTTTGGCTGGACATTCGCTACCAGGATAATGTAATAACAAAAGATGAATAATTGGCTTGCGCGGTAATAATTCACACGATACGCCGATCCAAGAAATGATTACCTGCAGCTTCAATGCGATTCATTCTCTGCCGTTTTCTCTCTCTCATTTTGTCCTCGTCGATATTAAAGTCTTTATCAATGTCCTACCGAAATCCAATTGATAAAAGATATGTGATTTAATATCAAGCAAGCGAGCTATCATGCAATCAATTGATCTCCTTGTACATACTGGGCAAGGCCATTTGGCGCTCTTGACGTAGACTTTCATGTAATGCTCATAGCATTCTTCCTTTGTTTTGCTGCCGAGTTGTTCTGACACTTCCAACCAATTTCCTAGACCATAGCTGCCTGCTAGTTCTATTAATCGGTACTCTTCTTCGGCATCCCAATTTTCGTCATAGATTGGAAAGCTTAGAGAATGTTGTTTCTGTACACAGATGCCACATTAGAATAACGCGCAATACTCTAGCCAACAGTACCAACAGCGCAATACAACGAATACCACGTTCATTTTGGTAGTTTACATACTATTATTTGATAACGATGCTTGTTTTTATGTTTTTCGGCTTCTCTTCCTTCAGCAAAACAATTTACGCACATGAAGAAATCCTTACATTCCGCACAGCGGAATCTTGTAGTGTTGTCTATTTGCGCTTTGCAGGTTCGGCAACGATCCATTATGCTAGCGAGAGCAGGGTGTATAGAGTGGATTGCATGAAAAGACTGTGAGATCTAAAGTTAAAGTGTGTTGATGAAATCATTGAACCGAATTTCGCCTTGTTTTCATACGAATTATATCACGTGGTGTTACGATAGCTCCCTTTTCCCCTATTAATATTAACTATATTTATATTATAACGCTCTCTACAGAGCTGTTTGAGAAGGATCATACTGACAGTCAATTTGATAGTCTTTCTCACCATGTCGAATTATAGTGGATAAGTAAGGTAATTGATATTGTTCACTAATACCAAGGTGTGTCAAACAGATAAAAAACAAAGTCATAAAATTAACTACTTACAATTTGTATATTCTCGGGGGGAGGCTTTGGGAAAACTAATACTAATAATGACATATTAATGTACTCTTCCCTAATGGCACAATTATATATGAGAAGCGCAACTCGCCGTTAATCATATAAACGAGTATCTTGTATACTCATAAATACATTGTTCACAAATCATTCCCTGGCAAATTATTTGTAAACCACTAATCCCTATATCGATTAAGAACATTTGCTGCTTGTCTCGTGAATATTTTCGTGGCATCACGGTTTAAGCGGGAATGCATTTAAGTAAACATTAATATAGTAACACCCAACTTATAGAATTAATCCCATCGAAAGGAAATAGTGGATTGACTTGAGTGTGAATACCCGCTTGACATTAGTCTATAATGTTGTGAGGAGGTACAGGTCACTAACTTTCAAAAGTAGAGGTCACAGTGTTATTAGAGATTAATTGCTCTCCTGCAACTGTTAACTCGACAGCTTTTTTTGAAAAAGGTTTATTGTTAAACGAATTATTTTATGACTATTTCGCTTGTCAAAAAGGTGACATTTCATACTAGAGTATTTTTGACTTGACTGCAAAGCCATAATACATATTTCTACGTACAATTTATCTAACCTGCAAACATTATGTAAACAGTGCTTTGTACTATGAATGACGGGGCATCAACCGTTGACAAAAAGTATGCCAGCTCGTAATTGGCTGGCTCTTACGTTTCGAAATTCTAGGTTGTAAATGTAAGTTGTCTTTTTGTAAAATTTCCCTAAGCAAAAACATTTGCGTTCCGTCTTGCAATATGAGCAGTAGGGCAATAGTAAATAACAAGCTGTTGACTATAATCATAACGCAGACTCGTTTATCGAGACGGTTGAGAATTGCTACCATAATAAGCAAACGCGTCGATTCAATTTTTTTTTTATTACTATACCATTTAACTAAAAATTTTATCATAAAATAAGCGATCGGGGGAAAACGCGCCATCACTACGGGCGCTGGGGCGTCCTGGGGGGCAGTGGGGGCGATTCCATTACTTTTGGTCGACCTTTAACTCTTACTCACACGTAATATGTGTATTAAAAAACGCATTTTTTCCTGTAACGCTCAAGATTAGTGTTCATTGTCTATTGTTTAATAAATAATAACCCAAGCAAGCTTGTGTTAAATTAGTGTTCAGTTGTACCATTCATGTACGTATACATACCTCTTAAAGCCATCACTGTAGCAGTAAATTACAAGCACGTCATAGTTGCCTAATATAAGCAAGTAATAGTAAAGCCAAGTTTCAGAAAAATGTGAGAACAGACGCTTTTCCAGCGTGATTAACCAGCCCAAGCTAAATGCAATGCTTTGTTCAGTACCAATGAGCTTTTGACTTACTATTACACGGACGCGTTTGCTGCAAAAGATTTAAGTAGGGCTTTATCCACTAAGAACGAAATTCGAGTACTAATTTGATTGGTTGGTTAAAGAATATAAAACACGTAATTATAGAAATTGTCTAAATTTAAGTCTTTTAAATAATGTTGTAACAAACGCACAGAAACGTCAACTATGTTTATTTTTGTAAAAGAGCAGACAAAGAAACAAGTTTATGCCTGCACGGCTACTAATGTTATGTTGCGCTTTTTTGAGCAACAAGATAAAGTTAGGGTTTTCTAAGCGAATCACATTTTGCTCAATTAAACGAAAGATTTTATCCGATAGTTTAGATATTATAATATTGGGACAAGTATACAGTATACTCTTTTGCTTCTGTTAACGTTTTTATTTCCAATAATGGAATACGCATGCAATCATAGACGAATATTATGAAACTTGCGTTATAATGGAGAGTTATGTCCAACTTTCCATTTGATTATAGTGTTCGCATACCAGAAGGTACAACGCCAAGGAATGCACGGAAACTATGACAACGGAACTGTGGAATATCAAATAAGAAAACAAAAGCAAAGATGATTCTGATTTTCGATAGTAATTGGGCACAGCCCAGAAGTAATAGCCCTGTTCCGTTCCAAATCGAAATCAGTGAGAATTTAAGACAAATGTGTGTTCACATTTTATTTCGTTTCACTCCAAGACTTCAAGTATTATTCTTTGCAAAAAGAAACATATTTCCATTAGAACTCTTTCTCGCAACACAACCTTTTATGTCTTTACACTTTTTGTGTGGTGGGGATGGGAACAGATGGGAACAAACGGACGTTGCAGTTTCCACCCGTTCCGATCATGTAATTTTTAATTCGCCAATCAAGGGCCGACACGAATTGGAACAGAAATAATATGCTATACAAATATGAACAATTGAATGGTTACGATTTTTGAGATAAATATATTTTTTATTTTGTGATATTTAATACAATACGAGTATGTACTGTATATGGTACCTGGGTACCTGGGTACCTGGCTAAAACAGACTAGTATAAGACTCGAATATAGATAGGTAATTTCACTGGCCCAAGCCTTTTTACTCATCCTAAACTGTTGAACACAAGACCCAAGAAATCTCGAAAAACTGTCAATTAAGAAGACAAATCCGGGTGCTAACCCGCAACTGCTAGTCTGTTCGCTTCGGCAATTTTATTGTCAAGCCTTAATAGCCTAAGGATCGCATTGCCAAGAACAGTATGCTACTTGCTATAAAACTAGTAGTCTTGTTTAAACAATTCGCAATTATCAGCTCTGCCATGGAATTAATTGTGGCAAGCATTAAACAAGGGAAACAGTTTCTACATCAGTAAAAAAAAAAACTTTGGATTAAGGTGGCGGGATGAGTTTAGTATTTCACAGTCTCCCGATGTTTGCGCATTGCGCGTTTCATGGTAATTAGGATCGGCGTAGTCAAAAGATAGAACGCCAAGACTTGGCATAGGCATGCGATAGAGCATAAAGTGTTTGTCTGTGGGGGGAAAGCTTGTTCTTATTAAAGACGGAAATCAAATGCCGATGAACATGATAATGATAAATCCATCTATTCACATTTGATCTACAAAGTAAAATACGGAAATTAAATAACCGGGGTTAATGATCACCGAATAGTTCATGCTTTTTGAACGAAAATATTGGGCCATCATTAAACAATATTATCCGGGTGACCTTGATAACATATGCTTTTTCCAGACTGTAAAGTATTTTATCGTCTTAAGTTGCGCCCTTGTCACAGTGTAAGGGTTGCATTTTCTAACATATCTGAGCGCAAGTTAAAAATAATACATTCTAACTCGAATGGGTTTTTATGTCCGATCAACTTTTTGGAGGAATATGTCGTTTGCATACGCCGTTTACGTAGGCTGTTTGCATACACTCGTTTTCATTGCGTCCAACGGTCGAAAGCGTATTAATTTGCGGTTGTCACACGCACACCGGATTCGCTTGCATGGAGATTTCTTGAAGAGTATCTTATTATATTACATAAGCTTTTTGCGCTCATGGATGTTTTCTTCTCAACGACATCTGAACGTTTGTCAATACATAAATTAATAAAATAAAGTAGTGCTAAATGGCAAGTTTTAACCAATTAATTATTAGTTCATTTCTTAATTACTTGATGATTTGTTCCGCTAATCGAGAGCTGAGCAGTTCATTGCTTCCTCATTTTGTTAGGAATAGATAAAGTTCATAGATGTGCTGAAAGATAATTGTCTTTAATAAAACTTGCCTGCCCACATTAGCAGTTATTAAAGAGAAAGTTCTAACGACATCAAAGACGGGGGCATTATATTTTATTGGTATAACTTTATTATACGTCAGCAGTTTCCATATTTAGGTGTCAATTTAAAAGCATTGCACTGTAATACGCTTATAAAATGAATTACGCCAGTGCCCTATAAGGCAAGTTCATCTCATGCACATCAAGCACAGGTATTGTCGTGTAACAAATCTAGTGTCTTTTTACTCATTATTCCCATGACAAAACGTGCAAAAAAGACTCCGTTTCCCGAAGGATCGTTGTACTGGATCCTAAACTAGTGTTTGTTACCTTAACGTTAACCAGCCATTTGCAGTAGTCTCAAACAAGGTTTCACCCCACTATTGTTATAATCATGTTGCATTTTATTTATGCTCCATAAATAGAACTAGTCCGTTCTATAAAAGCTCGTCCTTGGAAATGTCCCTCCTCCCCCCCTCCCGAATTGCATCAACAATCTTCCTTTTTCCCTCATCGAAATCCGCTGTAAATTACTTCCTTATTCATCTTTCCGCATCACCCTAATAAAAAGCTCCTTGCTGGATTTCTTGTGCAAATTGAGTTTGTACGGTTCCGAGGAGTCCTTCAATCAGCATTTCACTTACACTTACACTTAGACTGCATTCTTATTGTTGTGCATTATCGCTCTTTCCGTAAACGCATCATTCATTTCTCTTTCACGTCTACATTTCAATTAACAAAAACAAAACAAAACAACAAAACGTCAAATTATAATGCATTTGACATCCTTATCAGCCCTCTTCGCAACAACGCTTTTTGCATTTGCATCCGTTTCCGACGCAGTACTGCCAGGAACATGGCCACCGTTGGATCAAGCTCCTCCGATGAAACCAGAGTGGGCTAAATTGGTCAACAAAAAGAAGCTACCAAAAGCTCCCGTACAAACTGCGCAAGCTGCAAATTGTTCCCAGGCCGTACAGTTTTGTATATGGTCATGCAATGCTTGTACGCGAAGCGAATCAGATGTCACAGCTTGTCCTAATGACAAAGGTAAGCACAATGAACAACAAACTGTACACAAGGATCGGAGCATGTGATCTTGAGGAACAACGAGAGATATGAACAAAGGAGTAAAATAATAGATTTTTGAAGGCATGCCAAACGAATACTTATTCAGTTACAGAAATTAGAATTTTATTAATAACATTTTTCAATTGATTTCCTTAGAATGGGGGATCAGCTATGATGATGGTCCATCACCTTACACACCAGCACTTCTCGATTTTTTAAACCAAACCAACACTAAAGTCACCTTTGCCGTTGTTGGTTCGCGTGTCGTCGAACGCCCCGAGGTCCTCCAACGCATCAGAGACGAAGGACATGAAATAGTAGTACACACATGGTCACATCCGGCACTTACTACCATATCGACAGAACAAATCATTGCTGAAATTAAATGGACCGAGTTGGCAATACAAACCGCTATCGGACTGACTCCCAAGTACCTGAGACCACCAAGAGGTGATTACGATGACAGAGTAAGATCTATAGCAACCCAGTTGGGATATAAAATTCTAATGTGGGATCGAGACACATTCGACTGGAAGTCGGCCGAAGATTCCAGTTACCAGCCCTCTTGGATTTGGGGCAATTTCTCGCAATGGGTTACTGATTCACATGGTCACATTTCGCTTGAGCATGATTTATATCCGGTAGGTGCTCAGAATGCTCCTTACGCCATATCTATTGTTCGAGAAGCGGGGTATACTATCAAACCAGTGTCTGTGTGTACCGGAACGGCAGCATACAGAGAGAACGTGCAACTAGCCGCCAGTGGACCACTTCCAGCTGATGTTACTTTACCTGATCCACCAGCACCATCACCAACAGATTCGACATCGGGATCGGGACCGGAATCGACATCTAGTACTAATGATACGTCCGCTAATGCTCAATCGACCTCTGATTCATATGCTTCTAGCGTATCTCCTCAGTTTTCACGGCTCGGGCCATTCATAATTCTGACAATATCTATAGCTTTTTCGGTTTATAATATAAGAAACATTATAATTGGATAGTTACGAGTTAGTTACCTTGTGAATTCGGGGTGGAAAATTTCGTGCGAGTCAAGAGGGTTAACAGTTCCAACGACTAGATAGTATCAGTATGATAGAATTGTCAAGGATCATTAATAATTCAGAATATGTGTTGAGTATTATTAATTTTTACACTTTTAATCCTTGTCATTTTGATTATCTGTCACAATACATTGGTCGTTGTGTACATAATAAAGACATCAAAGAAGAAATAGACACAAAAATGCGTGTGACGTGTGACGATCGAATATGGGATTTTCGGTTTCTATTTGCTCATATCGCAATGCATGACAATACGAAGAATGTTTCATTTATCGAGTATTCATTGTATGTCATTCTATTTTGCACATACGGTTTCTCAAATGTGTACAATGTCTTTGACGTTTGCGAATAATCCGCATTGTAGCAGTGCTCCCCCAAACTATCGAGAGTATTGTTGTCAGATATATTATATTTATCTCGGTGTAATATTTTGAGCATATTAATATCGATATTATTTATCGGTTTGATCTTTATTGCTTGCGACTGGTCTAATTAGAATGATATCCCCATTGACAATCATAACAAGATATAAAGAATTATACTATTACAGTACAAGGCTTAAACTGTAACGAGAGACACAGAATGTTTTTAATAATCAGAAACATGCCGTTGAACAGAACGTTTTCGACAACTTTGTCAGCATCATGCAGGTTCCTTGTGTTGGCTATTAATAACGACGGAGGATGGAAAAATCTACGTAGTAAAGTAAACGCTTCTTAAAGTCTCACTGGTGGCATCACGTTATTATCTCAAATACTGTAATGATTCCCATAAGGTCTTTACTAATTAGACTTTATTGATGATCATACACATGGAAAGAGCTGGAGAAGCTTTCCAAACTTTATTCAGTGTATTCCGTCCGCTGCAGAATGTGTGTTATGTGTATTTTGAAACAGATGCATCTTGCAGGTTTGTAAAACACAGACATTTAGCAGATATGGATTTGTAATGATGTAATGATTGTACTGTGTATTGTACTTGTATTGTACGATGTGTTGTATTGTATATATTAATATGTATGTAACGATCCTTATATATCGATATATCCCCCATGTGTATTACAGTTTCAAATTTGGTTAGACCCCCCGCTTCAAAACGAAATGTTCAGAATGTCACACATCAACTAAATTTAATGGTCGATTTTTCTCCGTTCACTATAATAAGAGAGAACTTAACGTTGTTCTTATTGTTATTGTTTGTAGACAATATATAGAAAGTCCTTATTTTAGGCTTTTTACATCGGTAACCTTGTTTTAATTTCAAACATTTCTATTTGTGTGTATTCACTTTCAGCGTGTTCAATGCTCGTTTTTGCCACATAATCATGAAACAAAGGTCATATGAAACTACACGTGATTTACGATTGTACAATCAACCTGTACAATGTACTGTTAGTCACCGACCCGTTATTATTATAGACAATAGCTTTTAGCATTAGTATTAACTTTACTGTCTCGGCCGAGATAAATCGTACACTAACTACATTATGCGATTTTCAACAAACAATGTTAGTCTAAATATAGTATTCCATGTGATGCCAATGAACTAATAGAGGTGTGGTAACGCAATCGATGTAATAGAATTTACATTATTATTACTACTATGACTGATACTTTAGACGCTTTCTCAACAATACATACAGTAAACTAACGCCTTTCCAGATAACTAGCTATCGATAGGTAGACAAGCAACAACGACAATTATACTGTAATCTACAATGGCTGTCAGCAAAAGCACCTGACTGTTTTGTTTACATTGAACAAAAAAGACCCCAATCAAAAGCAAAATATTGTATACAGTCAAACCTCTTATACCGACACCTGTTATAGAATACTCATTATACCGAAAATTGGCATAGAAAATTTATATCTATCATAATCGCTTTGCCGATAATTGTGTACGGTTACTAAATTTAGAACAGTTTAAACATTTATCTCAATAATTACGTGGAAACGAAATACACGAAAGGCGAAGAGATTCTACGTATGTATCTGATAAACCGTTCTTTCTCAAAAGAGAAAGACAAAATTGAAGAACTAGTTATTTATTCTATTGTAAGTATCAAGTCCGCTTTAGACAGCTTACAGGTATTATTTGACTTGTTCCCAACCCGCCTATTGAGTTTGTTTATAATAAAAACATACTTTTTAAACCTCAAAGCTTGAGAAATAATTTATTGGCTCACTCTCTATCAAAAAAAAAAAAAAAAGGAGCAAAATGTTTATTAATGTTTTTGTTTATAATTGTTAGTTTACTATTAGCGGTTTTATTTTTCTCCATGTTAATTTTAATAAAGCCGCCAGAAATAGTTTTCTTGGTTTTTCTTTGGTTTTGATATGCAGACCAATAAAACTTACTCAAACATTACAGATTTATTTATTATTATCAAAAAAACTTGTTTGATGCCAGGCACACTGCAAACATATATAAGAAATCTCGCTTTGATGGTAAAAATGATAAACTTTACCAAGTCTTGGTTATCATTGAATCTAAATCTACTAAATTGACATTATCAATTGTCTTGCTGATCTGCTGTAGCTCTCATACTCAGTGATGTGATAGATTATGTTGAAAAAAAGGTCACCTGAAGGTCTAAAAAGCATATCTTTTACATGATCTGTGGAGTCTGATATTTTATTGTGCAATCAAAGAAGCTCAACTAGATTCTCACTGAGAAGTCATGGTGCAACTACAAAAAGTCAATGGTTGGCCAATTTTGGTTCCTCTGTCTTTATCTTGGGGAAATTGAGCTAGTGCCAATGGGTGTGACACATAAAGACAATTCTAATGCAAGAGATGCACACCCATCTTGCCTCACAAGATAATGGAAGGTGTCTGTTTTGATACTGCACATATTGCTATATTGTGCATGTAAATGTCATGTGTCCAGGTTATGATTTGAACATAAAAGCTTTAGGTAGGGTGCTATACAGTGCATTTATTGTTTTCCTCCTTCATGGACACATTGTAGCATTAAAAAACTGTCTTGAGATTGTACCATTTGAAGCTAAAGTTGATGGTAAATGCTGCTTCTATTACTATTTACTTATTATTATTTTTTGTTGATATACTCCTAACTTGTTATTGATTCAAGTAATTTCCCACACCTAGGAATCTATTCGCATGGTCAACAAAAACAGTTTATACACCAAAGAGCAAAAAAATTACTGCAAACACACTCTCAAAGGTTTCTCATACAACGGGCTTGGAGAATGCTTACATTGCTTACAACAATAAATTAAATTGTGTGAAAACATTAAAGAGCCACACCACCTTAGTGTAAGTGGTAGTTAAATCTCTTGCAGTTGTGCTTGACCTATGAGATTGAGCATAATGTTGTTATTCAGGCTTATGATTGTAAATAATCAAAGAACGGCATTCTGTGGAAAATTTTAATTATCTGAGTAAAAAATTATTCTGAAGGCCAAGGTTTGCATATTTCTCATTCCAGTTGATAGTAGTTTCTTAGTATTGACAATTACTTGTCTCTGAATAAATATTCCTGGAGTTGTGAAAATTTACGATTGGGAAGCCTTCTTGGATATATTTGCTTAAAAAGTGGGCATATTAATATGCCTCTCAGGTATATTATAAGTTAGCAATGCTAATTGTCTGCTCAATTTTCTCATATGCCTTTTTTTTTAACATTAAGACTGAGAAATTATTTGTCAATTAAAGCTTTTGTATTATTAGGCCGACAATTACAAAGTATTCCATTTAGCAACAGGCCGAGAGCGAAGCCAATAAATATCCCAACAAAGAATTCGCTTGTAAATATAAGCATTTTTCGTATTGTTGTTGGTAGAAATTGACAGAATTGTTTTATTATTTTAAAAATGTATTATTTCAACAATATTTATTGCGTTGTGGTTGATTTTTTGAAGCAAGTCAACTAGGGCCGTTTTTATAATAAAATGTTCGTTTGCTCACCATGCACTACGGATGACCATTAGACAAACGCGAATTTCTGCGCATTTTTGGTCAACTCTCTTTATAACGACCTTCTTTATACCGACTGGTGCCCTATAATGACCACATGTGCTTTGCCACTTTCAATTACTATTAAAATCAGCTGTTTATACCGACCAGTCTTGGTATTTCTTTATACAAGAGTCTGTCAATTAATAAATAAATTACCGTATACAATAAAATATATTTGTGAAACCCTTTTTACAGTGATCGGTAGTACAATCGATAATAATTTTTATATACGGGTAAAATTTTCTCTCTAACATTGAAATCAGCTAACGAGTGCGCAAAAAAGAAATTATGCGAGAGAAAAAAAAGGAAATGCCTGTAATAAAAGGAGAGAGGGAAAGAATTCAAAATTATGCTAATGGAAAGTTAACAGTACACCATTCAACATAATAGTGATATTTTGAAAATTGTATTAAAGTCCGCTGGCTATTTATTACAACAATGACATTATATGATATATATTTGTACTACCGCTGCATGTAACGACCAATTTTGACTGTAGTTACTTATGAAAAGGTCTAGAACGTTCCCAATAATACGTCATTGATTTCGCATTGCGCCACATATAAACAAACTTCCACGCGATTCACCGAAACGACTCACGAAAAAATTACCGCTCTATCATGGCTACTATCAACAACAAGTGGAGAAGGCAGATAAGAAGCTTGATGAGCGAACGCAGCGTTGAAGAGTTTAAGGAGTCGAGGTACGGAGAAATAAAGCTGAACGAGTTAAGGGAAAAGGAGGCGAATAGAACCATTGATGACAGAGAGAGGCAATGGTTGAACGGCTTGAAGCAAGAAAGAGGCAGATCTGGAGATGCGCGTAAACATGTGTACAGAGGAGTGGCTCAAGAGCAAAGATGACTTGCGGCAAGCGGGGACGACTATTCAAACAGGTAACGACTTTGTGTCTCGGGCGTTGGACATAGAGTAGTGTGTACATAGGATATTGACTTTCGTCTGTTATGTTCACATTGTACAATATATATAATATGTTGTTTTTTCAATATTTTTGTTTGCAGGTGTTTCATTAAAACGAAAATACGAATCTACTATATCTACAGGTGAAGGATTGGACGCGTTTGTTATTATTTCCGATGAACGCTTACAATATATTGATGAATTTATGACGTCACACTGGGTTGCCCTCCTGCGTAGTCCCTCAGAATCTGGAAAAACGACGCTTGCTATTCGATTGAAAAATTATCTTGAAAACAAAGGTCGTTATGTTGTGAACATTTCCATACTTGATTTGAATGGTACTCGTAAATGGGGTATGGATAGCAATGAGGCTTCTGATGCTTATTGGATGGAACTCGTGGGAAAGACGTGGACTGAGCTTATGAACCTCCAGACTCAGGTAGACGTTATTATTGACAAAGCTCAGGTTTTATATAACAAACAAATGGGTTTTTTTTGGAATGTTGTAAAACGGCAATTACAGGAAAATATACGCAAAGCAACAGCAACCTACATATGCTCCTTTTGAGCATGTACAATGATCGTCTTGGTTTGAGCTCTACGCCTGTAAGCTTTAATAAAGCATTGGGATTGAATAACTTGCGTTTGCTACGACCAGAGTTTGATCAGTTAGTAAACAAGTTTCTCGACAGTATCCGCCAGGTGACTATAATTATTCCAGATGTTGTGCGTGATGTTATCTTCAATATGACTGTTGCAGCGATAGTTTTATTTCCTAATGTTTTATAAGCGGTTACGTATCTAAAGCTTGTTCGAATGTTAAGGGTAATATATTAGGTTGTGAATGTATCAATGGGATGTTGGAATTATATTATGTGCAATTCTTCTATCGATTCCATTTACTATTTTATCAAGTTAAGTAATGAACCATATCGAACGCTTCCAACGTGCGAATGGAATGGAAAGTGGGTGAGTGTTTGGGGTAGAGAATGCAAAACGATTGCTTTTTCAATCACTCTTTCAGAATTACTTTCTATTTTCATTGTTTATAAGTGGCTGCAGTGAATAAACTTTGTGAGCGCGTACACTATCTAGTCAACAATAACTGATTTCCAAATGCCTCGATAAACTTTCATATGATCACATACTAATCCAATTAGAAATGACTTTTCTATACAAAATTTTTACACTTACTTATTACTTATTGTTTACATTATTATTATCGGCTTTCCCCATTCGCAACCTCTGAAAATGCATTATCCAAGTTACCAAATCTACAGTGCGCGAAAAAGTTTTTGGAATGACGTTTTCATTAATTGTGTAACGCAAATAGTCAGAGAAACATGAAATTTTACAGATACCTTCTTTATAATACAACAAAACGTTTTACTTAGTACTGCTTAATAGCTTATCTTATTACCATTTCCCTCAATTATTTCATTCAATCTCGTCGGCATGCTACGAACCATAAGTGCTTCGGTCGATCTCTTCCAATTCTTTCTGAATCACTCCGCGAAAGACCTCGCCATAAATTTTCAATTGCTGTGCAAGAAGCTTTTTGTTTCCTTAGCTGTGTGCTTAGGGTCATTATCTTGTTTTCGCGTCTAAGATAACCATCTGACTTTTCGCATAAACTGCCGGCATATTTTTTGATAAACATAAACTTGAGATCTGGGCTTTCGTCCTAACACAGTTTTTTCCTTCCTTTCCTTGAATATATAAAAAGGATTTTCACCTTGAAGTCACCACGTTAAATCATATAGTACTTACTTGTCTAATCGCTCGTCTTCTAACCGAAACAAAGTTTCAATAAAACAAAAAGTTATTTATTGGACGAGTTGCTATTTGTAGTGCAAGTATTTCTTGTATTGTATAGACGTTGGAGGAAAGCGATGTATGGCTTACTGAACGGGATTTGATGGCGAAATTACGCAGATGGGAAGGGGTCGCGTTGTAGTGTAGACCGATTACAGAACGTGTTCAAACTAATCTGTCAATGCGTTAATGTCAAAAAATTGAACGGGAGAGAAAAAGACAGCACTTTCGATAAAGCAATCACTATATAAATCTTTAATACTACTTTTCTACATCCTCTATATTAATGTCCAAAATTTTTTGGCTTGTCTGAAAGCTCCTTTTGAGAACTACATAATGACATACCTACGGTACAGTTTTCGAAAAGGATTCTCCCGTCGAAGACAAAAACCTTGGTTTTCTTTAAAGTAGTATATCGCAAGAACCAGTAAACTTGAGTGCGCGAGACAAAGTGTAGACGAAAGGGCTTGTTCGTGAAAAAGATTCTGCTTAGGATCTTTTCTTTTTTTTTCCGGTAAATAAAGATTCCCGAGGTTACTGCTAATAGAAAGACAAAGTTTACAAGCTCACTTGACTATTTCGTCTCCAAAGTCAAGTGATTTTCACGGGAGTCTGATGATCCTCATATTACAGTATTACATTGCACCCTCCGCGGATAATCACAGTAAATCAGTCCTTAGTTTTGTATAATTTCTGAATTTGTAGCTGTATCTTACGATTACAGAAGCCTAACATTTGAACTTGGCGCAAGCTCCTATTCAATTGCCCCAAAGATTTCAAAGAGGGAATGCAAGCTGTATATAAATCATCCACTGTCACATTATAATTTCCCACGTGCATTTTATTTCATTTTTCGTGAAACACTCATAAGCCACCGTGAATAAGATGCAGTAGATCATTCATTTACATTCCCATCACATCCTTTGTATATAACACTATCACATCTCATGACAACGACACAGGCAGAGTGCCCACGATGCTTTTGCGAGGCCGATTCCATTCCGGGCGTAACAAAATACAAAGAAGCGGTCCTCCGCAGAGTTAAAAAGAATAATCCAAACTTTGGAAGGTTTTTTTACGGATGCGAGAGATTTGGCAGGAGCGACGGTCCACCTGCGTGCGAATTTTTCAAATGGGTAAACGCTGGTAATGGTGAAGAAGACGCTTTGGAGACGGGACAATTACCTCACCCTGTTCCAATAATGAATGGAGGAACTAGTGTGACGGCTGTACATTCATATAACATAAATGACTTGAATAAACCTATTCTCCCCACGAATTGCAGTGCACCTCTTACCGGGTCACTTTCAAACCCTTCTAGCGTTTCTTCGCTGGCTGCTACAAGGTTTCCATCCGATTCTCCGTCGATACACACACCTAAATTATCCTCCGTCGTACCAAACACACATCTAGAACACACTCTGCTCTCCCACATTCGTAGGCAAGATCGGATAATTCTTGCAATGACAAAATCGAGAAACTATATGCGCGAGTTTGCTGCAAATCTAGCAAAACAACGAGACGAAAAGGAGAGAGAGTATATGGAGCTTCACAGAAAATGGACAAACCTGCAACGAAAGTTGGGTGATCTGGATAGGCTGAATAGATCGTTACCATCGCCCGTAGAAAATTATAATTACGATAATGACTATGATTACGATAAAGATGAAGATGATAATGTCATTGACAATGACTTTAACATACCTAATAGTTTATATGAGCTCTCCGATGACGCCAACATCAACATTACCGTTACTGATTCCAGTAAGTTGGACTCTATCAACAATATCAGCAGGACTGAAAAAGCAAGTCAATTTGATAGCTTTGATGCATTGGACATTCCTTCCAACGTTGTTGATTTCGACGAGGAAGACGAGAATATCGTTACCTCTATTACCACTACCATTACACCACCACGTTTTCTTACACTCCCGTCAACGTCGACATTCACAGCATTTGGCAATCTTAACGAAACCACAGATAATGGAAGCGATGTTGAAGTCGAGGGACGGTCGGGAGGTGGCTTGCTTACAGTCGTCATGACAGGTACGTGCCATATACGCCGCGTATCGATTGATGCTAGTCTGCTTGAGGACAAGCACATTCTGGAAGACTTTGTGATGGCTGCGTTCAATGATGCAAGGTGTAAATTGGGTACACCAGCTGAGGAATATTCAGGCAGATTGTTGAGCCGTTCACCACTATCATTGGGCTTCAAATCGCCGTTCTACAGAACGGAACGAGAACAGCAAACGGAGGAATCTCGCCCTGCTTCACTTGACAGGGAAAATGAAAATTCAACGATAGTAAATTCACGACTGTCAATGTCCGCAGAGTTTGACAGCCTTAAGGAGAAAGTGAAAAGTTTGGAAATAGAAAACGATAATCTGAAGAAACGCGCCAAGAAACTCTGTTCTACTATAGAGTTGGAGAAAGAGTCCCTTGAACAAACTAATTCGGATCTATTGAAGAAAGTAGACTTTCTTCAAACAACTAAAAGCCTCGTGGTGACAAAACTTGAGGAGTTAGAGAAGGAAAAGAAGATATTAAATTCCAAAATAACTTCGCTTGAGGAAGACAACGAAAAACTCAAAGCTCATGTAGATGCGCTTGAGGAAGAAAAGACGAAATGCAGAACAATATGTGAAGTGGATGTTGGAGAATTTAGAAAGCGGGCTATTGAAGCGGTTAGAAAAGCCGAGGGTGCGATAAATACGACAGCGTCACTGCAAGAAGAAATAGACGAATTAAAACTCAAGGTTCGCGAAGTGGAGGCAAAAAGAGATTGGTGGAGAGTACAGGCGGAGATAAAGGATAAGGATAATGAATTGCTAAGACAAGAACGGGACTTTGCCCGTGAAATGGAAGAGAAGTATTTGAAGGACTTATTAGAATGGAAAAGCAAGGCTACGGCAGGCGCAGCGTGAGCGGGATACAAGGGGTGCGGGGTTATAAACTCCGTCTAAATTCGGGATATTAAACCGCAGCAATGCAATGATGCTGGATGGCCTCTGCGTCAAAAAGAGTTATACATATATAGATAATAGATGATAGATGGGCATGAGCTTAACTCACTTTACGGATCGGCTGTTTACTTGTCACGTATCAGTGCTATTCAAAAGGAATCGTGTAGTTAGCAAAAGTGGCGATTGTTTGTCATTCAACTGTAGTCTGTATTACATATCGGGTAAAAAAGAAATTTTCTGATTCTTTATTTATAAACCAGACAAACACACGCTATTCCCTGACTATTGATCTGTCTGTATTATGTGACCATAGACTGACTCTTCCAATTGTTCTTGTTTAATCAACAGTTACTTTACTCTACAATGCATATATAGTCTTACTAATAATTAGTAGATCAATGCGATGACAAACCAATGCCTAACCGTGAATCGGTACATATTGCTCGCGATCGCGATATCCAAAGATGTTGTAATAGAGAGAAATAACAAAGAGTAGTTGACGGTGAGAGTGTGGGGATAGAATGAGATGGGATCGTAAAAAGCGCATCATCTCTTCATTTTCCTAATACATCAGTTTGAAAGAATTGAATGAATAATTGCAATGTAAATCGCACAGCAATGCAATGCAGTGCAATGGGCATTAACCATTCTTGCATTCTCACATCATCTAATTCTCTTGCTCTCATCATAATTACCTCTAGTCTTCAACTTCACATCAAGTGCTCTTTCCAACTTCCTTAATACGCCGTCATTAGGAATGGTTCTTCCCATTTCATAATCGTTAATAACGTTTGCCTTTTCACTGATTTTCATTGCTAGATCTTTCTGTGTGAGCCCTTTGGCTTGTCTGGCCTGTTGAATAAGTTTACCAACAGACGGACTAAGCTTCGAAGGCGGTGCAACCTCGTTTTCTCGGTCAACCTTGGCCAGACGCTGGTGATCTTGCTGCGTATGTTTATTAGTCCCGCCAGTAACTGTGAATCATTAATATACAGACAGTGTAAGTCGCTAATGAAGTAGCCCAGTGTTTGCTATATAAATTATCTATTTCAAATAAAATACTCAGAGGTGTCATTTTCCCTTTCGTTCATATTATGTGTACACTGGTAAACGTACCTTTCTTCTCCGTGCCTATGACAGCATTTGAACGTCGCGCAGCATTGAGAGCCGACTGTGTCTTAGCGACCTTTGGAACGTTCGTTCTCTTGCGTATAACAGTAACATTGTCCCAGTCTTGCTCACTCATTTGTTGTGCTGAATCTTTGTGTGTGAAAGGAAAGTATCTGTGTCCAAAGAAAGAATGCTTGTAATTTCCGATTTCCGTCTCGTTGGTCACGTGGAGGAATGATAGAGAATCTTTAATCTTGATCATGTGGATATTTGACGTCAAAATTTCTATTGCGTGTTTTATTATGGGAGCCGACGAGTTTGATGCAGACACATGTAACAATCTTTCATACTTCAAAGGTAGGTCATATTATCTACCCATATGTAAGACGTTGCGTTAGTGTTCGTACAATAGGGCAATGGTAAAAGCTTTCTATATTACATCTCATCTCAAAAATTATTATTATTCAATCCTTGGCTCAAATATCCTTTGAATCATCTATTCCCTCCTATGGATATAGATCTGATGAAAGAGTATAGGAAAATAGATGATAATATTATGCTAAGGATGAATACAACTGATACTCATTCGGAGACATCATGCAAAGAATTTTTTAAACATTTATCAGAGGCGTACGCAAGAAGGGAGAAGGCAATAGACTCGTGCCTGAAGGTAAGGCAGATCAAATCGGTTTGAACGACCGAATTCCTATACCTCAAATAAAGTACGTTATTACTTTGGTTAACAGATACTCGACGCAAGGTTAGAGAAACAGCAAAAGATTATTGAGGATGATCCGTATAACAGCGATGTTAAAAATCAAATATTTGTTGATGAGACAAAGGTGCGTTACTGGGAATAAACATTTTTCGCTTTCATTGGCATAACGTCAGGTATTTGCTAACACGTACTGTAACGCTCACGGTTGTGAGCAGCGGAGGATGATTGCCAATGAATATGTAGTGGAGGACATTGTAAGGGAGAGGAGTTTAACGGTGTTTAAGAACAAGTGTCGAAAGTTTACCATTCCTGAAGAATTCCGACGGTGGCTACAGAGACGATAGCGAATAACAAGTTGTGGAGTAATGTGCAAAGATTTAAAGACTTGATAGAAGAGAATCGGATACATTGATGCACTTAACACACGCATCTCACTGCAAACTTTAAAATGTACTTAATACACGCGAATCTGACAAGCATATTTTATAATGGTTGTACTATCATAGCTAAATGCCAACTATATGTATAGCCTCAATATCAATCGTATCTTGTACGGGATGCTAGCGTTAGTTTGTCAATCTGAGATATCATAATTGCTTCAACAAGGTATGCTATTTATATAATATAGTGTACGTTTGCTAATCGGTATTAAGAGATCTGAGCTGTCAATTAAGAGCTACCTCAAAACCATTGTAGGTTAATTTGCACCGAGATAATTGCAAAGTCTAAAGTATACATAAACTGAAAATTTGCATTGATTTCTCTTAATGCTAGACCGACATGTCTAGAAGATCCCAAACTCTGAGAATAAAATGCTTGATTTTAACACATATTTATAATTGATTGCGTTATGTTTTCAAAATTTATTGTTATGATTCACACTGTAGTAAAATTACTGGTGGAATATTACTGGAAAAGAAAGGAAAAGCTTTTCCCTATCGATGAAATACGACGTGTCTATAACAAAAGTGTTGCCATTACAGAAAATATAGTAATTTTTTGTGTTTCTTGTGGGAACGACAAATAGCTTGTCGAATTCTTTCTCATTTCGTGATTAAAGCATAGACAAATTGTATAAAATTTCGCAAATTTTACATTTAATTTTTATGCAACAAAGCAAGCCTTTGTCTTTCAGCAAGGAATAGCATTCGTAAATAGTAAAAGACTCTTGCCATATTATATATTAATATTAATATGGCCTACTGAACAGTTTTCCTCAAGCTATAACTTACTGTATTTACTTACTAAATTTATTTTAATCAATATCGAAACATAAGCAACTAATATTAGTTTTGCGTAGCTTTTTTCTTTCAAACAAACATTATTTGCAAGATTTACTATTACTGCTAAAAATATTTGCTGTCCATCACTATTTTTTTTATAATTCGGATACACTGCACATACACAAAGGTTATTTTCCGTGATAGTGATAAGCCTGTCAGTAAGCTTAAAATTTCAAGCAGTAATTTAGTTCTGCAATAAAATATTACATATACTATTACTATCTCTGGCAGCTAACTCTTGGGATAATACCTCATTATTTATGCATGCTCTCAATCCGGCATGCAAAAAGCTATTTTTTGAAGTATAAAGTAAATGCTATTCAAAATGTTATTATAACAGAAATTCTTTACAAGTTGAGCGCATAGTGAAAATGAATAAAGAGGATTAATATTAATATACCGTTTGGTTGTCTAATACTAAAGGGTCAATATTGTGTAACACAACAAAAATGTCGTTATAGAGCATGGAGCGACAAAATCAAATAAAGTAAAGCATTGAGACCGAGGACTGATGCGTCATGTAAAGTCCCTTACCCTGTCACAAAAGGAATTAATATGGCACATTTGTAAGTTGATCGCCCGCTTTATCAAGATCTTTCCCTTTCCAGTTAGATTTGTATCAAGGTTTAACATGACGATAATTAAGTCAATCGTAGATCTGTGGGAAAAAGTAAACGTTAATAAAAACTAGTATTAGTATATGTAAACACATTTGCTGAGCCAAAATTTTGCAGACATAACTTTTACATTTCAACGATTGGAGAATTAGGGCTGTTTCTGCAGCATTTATAGTATATTACAGCATTTACAAGTTCACATCCAATAACTAATTCTAATACTTGTCAACAATTACAGTGGCGCAGAGATGATCAAAGTGTTAACTATAAATATACACAATCACATGAACATATTCTACGCCAGAGACAATTGAATAAGATACTAAATGCGGTGATCGACGTACTAATTTAAATAATTTAAATAACTGGCAGAACAAGGTTTGGTGAGTGCGAATATGTCACCAAAATAAATGAGTCGGGTTTAAACCCGATTACAACAGATAAGGAGAATCTAATAAAGTAATTCTGACTTGTATAGCAGAGATACCTTATACATATCCATTGTTATTGTCAGCGATTAAATCGTTACACTCGATGATATCATGCACACATAGTGCATCGGCAGACGCCATTCACGCTCCGTATATAAAGAAATAACAGCCCAAAGGCTCCACCTTTGACATTAATACTTTTTTTTTTCTGTTCTCATCCTTATCGACAACATGTACGATATAAAACACATATCGTTTATCAGTGACCAAACAGTTGGTTCTGTATTAAATGAAAAACAAAATATTCAGTCGTTGATCGAGATATCTGTTAATGCTACAGTGGAAGAAGCGTTCGACTTGTTGCTTGCCGAAAACATTCTTAGCGTCCCCGTATATCGACGCTGGAGGGGACGTCGAGAGCCAATAGCTATTGTTAATGTATTCGACTTGGTTACATTTGTCGCTTTACAAGTGAGTAAATTTCTTACGTGATCGGACGAGAATATGATCTGTTGATCAAGCTTTAATACAAGTAGGAGCCCTGATTTGCCAAAATAATTAACGCATCAAATATTAAAGTATTCTTGCAAACTCTCTTTATCATCTAGCCAATATTCGATCAAGATGACAATATGCCCGTTTCATCGTCTGACGCTGATCTTGAAAGCCAATCCGAATTCCTCCAAAGGTCAATTGGAGAACTGATCGGTCTTACTCCAGAATCAACTAATTTGACGACTGTATCTCCGGACGACTCATTAGTCAAACTCATCAATATATTCACTCGCAAACAGATACATCGGTTGCTTGTTTTCGACAGGCAATCATTAATCGACGATGATGGTAACGAATCGCTCAACGAAGAAGAACACAAAAAGCCTTGTTTTATATCACAAACAGATGCTGTTAAATTTCTATTCAAACACAATCATGAATTGGGTAAAGTTCTTGATACCCCAGCGTCAGAAGTTGCCAATAAAGCCTGTAAGCTGATACCCGAGAGACAACGGTTGCTCTGCAAACCGTCATCCGTTACCATACACGATCAAGCTCTAACGGCGTTCCGGAGAATACACCAAGATAGAGTGAACGCAGTGGCGGTTGTAAATGATGATGGTTCATTGGTCGGGGAAGTATCGGCGGCTGATCTCCGTGGATTGAATAGGGAACGAGTTAAAGAATTGAAAAAACCTGTTATTGCGTTCCTAAAGTCCTGCAAAGGAGCATTAATCGAGCCTCTCACTTGTAGCGCAAAATTCACATTGAGTCAGGTGATGGCTGGTATTATCAGGAACAAGACGCACAGGGCATGGCTTGTGGATGATGATGATGTTCCCATTGGTGTTATCACGTTGAGTGATATCTTGTGCATGTTTTTGCCTAACGGTGAAGATGCGAATGGGCACTTGGTCGACGAGTAGAATGTATAAAAGGTGCAATAATTATTACTAGTCGGAATAACGTGTTGAGGGTGATGATGATGACGGTGGTAATCAGTTGAAAGCGCATCTCCGTTGACGTGGAGTTAATGCGAGTTTATATGACATAGTAGCATCGTTTAATTGGAAATATTTTTTGTATATGTATATTGGATTCTGTATATAGACATTTATTTGCGTACTAAATTTGATTTGATTAATGAATATGTATTATCGGATTGGAGATTGCCTAATTACCATTCAATTATTTTATAAATGTGTCTTGCGTTGCAAAAGCATAAAATCATATGTAACGAAAAAGTCTGAAAGTGTTCTCAAATTTTTCTCTATTAAGCTTCCACAGTTTCGCACATAGAACAATAAATCATAAATAATTTCTATAACGGCATTAGTGTTCCCACATTTATACATTACTTGTTGATAAACTTGAACAATTTAGCAAGTCGCTGTTTCTTACTATCCGTTGTACTTCCACTTGAACTTGCGTCTGATCTCCCGGCTGTGCGTCCGCTTGTACTCCCGCTTGCGCTTGCCGCGCGCTCGTTTTTCTTACTTCCGCCCACTTGCGACGATGACTCCTTTAGAGAATAACCACGAGAGTGCGAATCGGCGGATTCTGAGATGAATGAAGTAGAGGTTGGAACTGATTCATCCGTAGAATGAATAAGGTCTTGACGGAGGAGGAGATAAGTAGAATTCAAGTAGGGAGGATCATCTGAACGCACAAATATCGGGAAAAGCAATTAAAAGAATGAAGTAAATGTATCAAAACAGTAGGTATAAACAAGTAATTTTATCTCACCTGACTGTTTATCTGACCAGTTGAAATGTACAATCGATGCAGGTGACAATTCAGCTTTGTATAAACTTATCCGCATATCGTCCAATACTTTTTTAGGTGGAGCAATAAACAAGTAAAATTCTCTCGCTGGTGTCCTGACTGCCTCTCTTACAAATTTGTACAATTCTTCCACAGGCTCCTTTGACAGAAACGATCCTTCCAACTGCGTTCGATCCGGAAATCGTATGCGTATCAATGTCTAAGCACGCGTATTCGTGGAAGATAAAACATACGCGTATTAAAATGCATGAACACAACATAATATTTGAAAAGCTAACGGCTGAAACGATGGGAGAAATCAAGCACCTTTGGATATTTGCGTTCTCGAGCAACTTCTTCTTGTTCTCTCACAGCCTTAGTTTTCAACACCGCATTCTCCAAAGCTGTGTTTTTTGCTTTTTGCATTGCAATAAGGTATTTCAATTCTGTTGGTGTAAGTTCGTAAAATGAATCTGGAAGTTCGACTATTGAATGTGTGGAATTAGTGAGTCAATTGTGATGATCTCTGTATGAGGAATAAATAGTTAGGCATCGAAAGGCTTACTTACTATGTGTTATTTGCATATTAGCCGGGGGAGGATTATACACTTTAACGTTCCTATCAAAGAATTTCGGCTCTTCTTCATCGATGTCCATATTATCTCCTATTTCTTTATCTTTCACACCTTCCGTTTTTTCTTTATTCTCAATATCACTTTCCTCAATTACCATTTTCCCCTTCGTCTCGATCTCCGTTGCCGCAGCATCCATTTTCTTCTTTTCATCCGTCTCCTTTTTCTCAACTTTCATTTGTCCCTGCATCTCGATCCCTTTCGCCCCAGATAATTCGGGCTCTACCATTTCCCCCCCTCCTTCGACTCTTCCTTTTTCTTCAATTTCAGTCGACAAATTATCGGTAGTACCCGCATCTTCCTGTAAACGCGCTGCCGGTGGATTAGCAGTGGTGGGAGGCATTTCAGTGGTCTCCATGCGTACCGCTTGAGATAAATTCGTTGATTTAGAAGGTTGTTGAGAACGCGGAGATGCAGTTAAAGGTGTAGTTGAAGTTTCTATTCGAGTGGCGATCGGCGTATGCGCAGATGAAGAGGTTGTGGCTCCAGATGATGTCTTTGCGGTAGACGCACCAACGTCGGCAGTGGCCATAATTTCAGCTACGGCCTCGTCCAAGGTAAGATTCGTGTGTCTAAATAATACGCGGATTAAAATGTTACCAGATGTAAGTCCTAAAGATTGCAGTGTCGTAGATTTCAGTGCTGATATTGTTGAAAACTAATAATCAATCGAATTAAGAAGAATATCACGGTATCAAAATGTGTAGATAGATGTTAATATTAACCCTTATACGTGTGGCAATTCCAACTTATTAGTTCAAAAATACCTCATTGTTCGAAAGGATACAGACGGGCTGTTGGTAGTATAACGTGTTGTCTGGCTTGATCAGTTTCTTGAACGCGCTCTTATTAGCCTGAGTTGCCTTTGCAGTTCGGTGTGTTATGTTAAGCGAACTGCGTGATAGGAATGCACACGATATGCATGGGAGCATTGAGAATGTAGTTTAGACTCGCGAATACTGACGTATACGTTATGATTATGATACGCACCCATCAGGCGATTGCTTTTCAACTTGACTCAGTATGTCCCACAGACTTGTATTGGGCATAAACTTTGACATGAATCTCCCCTCCTCGCCAAGCTGAAGAGCAACAGTAACCTCCTTTTGAACTTTGCATGGCACAAAATATGTGGAATGAAGAGAGGTTAGAATCGTGTAATAATATTGAGGGGAGACCCTCGTTTTACAAAATTGTAACTGTAGCAGTACCTTTCGGTGCATTTAGACGTACTAATTCAAGTTTCGCACCAGGCGCCAAATTAGCGAACCGCACGGACAACGAGAGATCAAGGATCGTTTTATTCAATCTGACACATATAAATGGCACTGATCAGTAAATACTTGACAACCAGGACACAATAACGCAAGCAATAAGAAAATATGATAGAACAACCATAGTTAATCTATCTAAATCTGGGAAGGCACCTACTTTAGTCCATATTTTTCAGGATCAAGCTTACGTTTCGTACACACAGTATTGACTATTTGTTTCAAGGCCATCGTGGGAGTTGTCTTGACAACCTGTCGGTTGCCTTCACATAATACCACCACATTCGAGGCCATTGTTGATAGTATGTTTGGATGTTTGGATTAAACTACATTCTCCAACACGCAATTTATTTACGTAAACAGTGCTATGTGGCGCAGCAAAACTACCCAATTGCCAGTTGTCCAAGCATTTATTGTCTGCGAGTAAACGGTAAGGTTGTTATTATTATTATTCCTTAAACGGATCTGTAATCTCGATAAAAAGCTTCTCTACGGATAAGCTGCCCCAATGTAAAACTTTATGGCTGTCTATAAAAGTGGTTAGTCGAAATTAGGTAAAGATTTACTTCATCACATGCTATACATTAATATTATTTCCGACTGACTAAACAAGCAAGATATCAAAATTTTTAAAGAGTGGCGAATAATTACAATAATGTTACCAGCCAACGAATATCGAAATCAATCGTCCTTTCTTATCATTCATTAGCCTCGCCTCGTTCGTTGGCTTATTGCTAAATAGGTCTCATGCCGTAACATTGTTAATTTTCTTAGCCAAGTAACTATCAGTCAAATCTAGGACACTTGCCAGTATTTCCCCGTCAATTTTTACTCTCTACGTAAGCAAATATACGAAAAAAAAAGTAAATAATACCATACTGTCGTGCTAATAAAAGCGAAACTCTTCTTGGTAATTTTAATAATAAAACTTTTATCACAGGAACTACGTGTATCATTAAATATCCGTCACGTACACTACCTGGACAAAAGTATCGGACCCTCTAACTTTATTATTACTCGAAATTATACATAATAATAGGCTAAAATTTACCATTCATAAATCTATCACAAATAGTTAATATTTTGTTGGCCAATCATTATTTGCTGTGCATGCTTCAATTCTTCGAGGCATACTTTTAATCAAGTTCATTAAAACAGTACTCGAACTCAAAAGTTTTGGACGACCAATTCATTGTTGAGTTAAAAGACTGTTTTTTTTTTTGAAAAAATTGAATAGTTCTGATAACTGTTGTTTTAGATAAACTAAGCGCTTTTTTTTATGCTGGTCTTTGTACCAACTTCGAAAGGTCAATAATTTGACCACGTCCAACTTCAGTTAATTCAGATATTTATGTCAAAGATTCAAACTTACCAATCAGACATTTTTTGTTTACAAAAATAAAAACTGTATACAACACGTAAAAATGTGACGCGTTGTCAATACTCAGAGCATAATGTATAGGATTTTCAGCCCCATTTATTATGTACAGTCAAAGCTCGGAAAACCAATAGCAGTGTTTTCGTCTTTTTCTATCAGTTTTTCGAAATATCGGTTTTGCAAATAAATTTCGAAAAACCGATATAGAGACGTAGTATCGGTTTTGAGATTATTACATTTGATTGGTGGAGCAATTACATATAGTAAATTAAGAATTGTGAAAATTTCTGATTTTAATGAACGCAATCACAAGCCACTGGGCGGATCATTGACAAATGGCATTAGGTTGTCCACACCTGCTAAAGTTGTTTTTAATGAAATTATAAGCTGTGGTTCATATTCCTTGTCACTTTTTTCTTTGCCTTCTTCGTCCTTCTTCGTCTTCTTCGGCGTTCTGTACGAGTTGCAATAATATCATTGTCGGTAAAACGTTCAATAGGTAAGTACTCAATACAAATATACTCAGTAGCCAACAACGGCTAAGCTGAGTAATACATTGCTGTATGTCTTCAACGTACTGATATTTACACTATGAGGAACAAGAGGCGAATCTTACCAGTTTTCCAACAATTGTGAATATTTGTTTCAGTAATAGTCACAATAACGTAATGCATCATAAATATTGATAGGAGCATTATGCAAAGAGTTGTGTCTGCTAATTAATATTAATTAATATTAAATAATACCAGATATTGTGTAGCAGATAAAGCTTTGCTATTGGTTATATCGGTTTATCGAGCTTAAATTTTTATATGAATGTGACAAAATAATATCGGTTATCGGAATTGCGCAATGTTATGTAAAATATCGGTTTTCGAGCAAATTTTGTTATACGTGTTTTGGGAATTGAGAAAATTATCGGTTTTAGCATTTATCGGTTTTTCGAGTATCGGTTTTCCGAGCTTTGATTGTATAATCAAGAATTTCAGACATAACCCCTGTGAAAACTTGTTCCAACTTCCATATGAGGCATGCTGCAACAAACCAGACAAAGTGAACATTCTATAAACAATGTGACTGTAAAATTAACCAGTATGACTGATGCCGTTTTGAAAAGTAATATAAACTTGTCAATTTAATTTTTACTTTATCATACTAATACATTTATTTCCCTAAGTGCAACTCACATAATTTCTGTAATTTTATTTGTTGCAGAAAAGGATCAACACAAACAAAACCGAGTTAGCTGGAAAGTATAATAAAGGACAATTTGTACGTTATTAAAATGTCTTTCCTAATAATGAAACCCTCCATGGATGCATAAATGCAACGCAGCACTCGGTCTTGAAGTGTTGCATTTAGGGAGGTGTCACTGTAGTTATTTCTTATACGTATATGCAATAAAAAATTTTGGTTTTTTTTAATCGTTATCGCCGTAGTTATGGAACTTTTTACTTTGTAGCGATTCTGCATTAATAATATATTGTTTCATAGTCTCGCAAATGTAACATTAATATACTCAAAATTGTTAATTTTCTCGATTTTATTAATCAAAATATCTTCTATCGTTATTTTTATTAAGCAACGATTATACAAATTTGAGCATTAATGTTACAGGTATGACTTATTTAATTAATGATTAACATAGCATTAATATAATATTAACTATTTTGATATATCGTATGGTTGATGGAATTGTAAAGAACTTTGACATATTTATTGTGTTTGCGGGATTTTAATTGTATGATTAAAAAGTTCCATAACTACGGCGATAACGATTGAAAAAACCAAAGTCTTTCATGGCATATACGTATAAAAAATAACTAAATTCTTAATGTATAACTGTTACTACAAAAATTTTTTTGTATAAACATTACCTTATATGTAATAGATCAAAATCTGTACACTTTCTTCGACTGTCGAGCGGATCTCTACCCAAACTAGCATCGGCAACCTCGAATAGTCACATGCCCGTACTTTTTTTTTTTTTGCCATGACTTTGTCAAGTGTTTTTATGCTCTGGCCTGTAGCGCAATCCAGCCCGTTTCGCAATAGGCACATCATCTAATATCACAACCAATAAGCGACATCCAATTAACATTGTTTATTATTATGTGATAAATAGCGAAATAAAATGTGCTTATTTCGAACTGGGCCGGCCCGATTTTGAATCGGGCTGAACTTCGCCACGGACCAGAACATTTATATCATATTTTTTTTATGTTGTATGTCAATTTGGAATTTATGTCAATTCTAAATGGACATATGTCGATTCCAAATTAACAAAAGTAATCTGATTTATAATTCAAACGAAATCGACTCACAATTACTTGCTACGCCTGACTTCTTGCCGACAAACATTACATACGTGATATATTTTAGCTACTGCATTAGCTGCCCCCACTAATTACGTGATTAATTTCAAGTCACGAGCGTCTAAGCTTCAGCCTGTTTATTATTGTTATCCCGCAATTTTTCTTCCTCGTGCTACTACAGATCAATTCAATAGGTGCCATATCAATGCGCAGTTTTAGTCATTTAAGCTTCGAAAATAATAAAGCTGGGAGTATTGAAGAGGGTGAAAAATGCTTTGACGATGTTAAGCAACATATTGAAAAGTTGCGGTAAATTATTGATGAGCAGTGTGGTGCAGGAAATTACAGATGGATAAAGGCGGTAGACAAGCATTTTTAATGGATCTCGTAAATTAGTCGAAAGCTATAGATGATGCAACACTTAATCCCGACCATAATGCAAATACCTTATTTCTAGAATAAATAGCATATTTTATTAATATTGCAACCAACCTGATCATATGACTTCACAATATAAATAAATCTGTGAGACACAAAAAGGCGTACGCGTTTATACTGTGGACAACTCTACCAGTCAAGAACTATGTTGTGGATACTTCCTGAGGGCAGAAAGACTGCTTCTGAATGTCCTAGCGCATATATAGAACCTGACAGTATGTTGGACAAACTTGCACGTCGTCTCTGTAAAAGTCAGAAGTATCTCAAAGACATTGACCCACATGACATTGAGTTCTTTTCTTATGATGACCGTATTCATCCCATAAGAATGAGCACACCTCTTTCAGATCTCAACACAACTGATAGTAATCCTCTTGTGTTCCGGTACCCATTGTCAGAAAACATTGGTAACCTTTTCCCCCCTTCCTACCTGCAAATTGAATGTCATAATTAATGACTGCTATCAACTTTAATGTAGTTGTCACGAATGTCAGATTTCTCAGGTCTTCCATTAAAGTTCGTGTTCCTCACAGCACTGGTACATGGTATATGCTTGTTGACGCAACCAGGGCGAATTACGAGAAATTACAAGATGGCAGAATTTCCTTTTATTATTATTATCTTGATGAAGATGCTGAAGAAACGATCGTTGACGAGATTCTATTTAATCATTTGCTGAGACAAACTAGTGCACATAAAAATGAACTTATTATCAATCTGTCAGTCGGGATTAAAGGTCTACTTGACGTTTGACTTACATCTCTTTGATGTATTCCCTTTCTATCAATTTCTCGTTTTTTTTGCTCATTTGTCATATTTTTTTTTCAGGTAAAAAAGCTTATACAGATTGGAATATTGAAGAAGTGCTCAAAGATGTTCTGCGACAGGAACATAGAACAACTATCACTGATATACCTCAGTTCAACATAGGTAATGTCCTCACAGTTTCTCAGCACGAATTGACTTTTCTTTCATTAATATTAACTGGGAGTGATCATGCGGTATGTGTATGCATACCCTAGAATCCGAGTTCAGCAATATGAATCCAGAATTGACGGAAAATGAGATAAACCGCTTCACAGCTAATATCGAGGCGAATTGGAGAATCTTCAACAAATCGATCATCAACGAAGCATCAGCTCGTTTTTTCATTGATTCCTTTATGTCATCTGCGGTTTCTCACGTCAACCGTGAGCACTCCTCAATGATACTGTGCGTTGAACAATTACTCAATGGAACCCGTGGGTACGGTTACGTTGATTACTTGGTCAAATGCTACGAAATCGTGGTATTAGTAACGGAAGCGGAATTGGAAGAAATTCATAAAAGAATAGCCCAGAATTTGGTACAACTGCACACTGCACTAGAGGTATTCACAATTGTTGCTCTTTCTGTAAGGTAACTGTTGACTACCTATTTCCACTAACTTTTCCGAATGCTTTGCTACTACTACTCAGCAATCGCTAGGTAAGAGAAAACGTGGTGAGGATGTGCACAAAGATGGTGGGCTTTGCAAAGTATACGGGATCGTAACAACCGGAGAAACCTGGCGTTTTCTTCGATTGGCTGGTTGCCTTACAAAGCCGGAGATAGGACTCTCGCCAGAGTTCATTTGTAATTTTAATGAAGTTGACCAGACACCTGCGAAGTCGATACTGAGATTGATAACCTGTCTTCTGAAATCGCAAGCTGACATTCTTAAAGCGGAAACTGAGAAAGACAGAGAATCAGGAGAAGTCGAACAAGATGATACAGAAAGAAGGCTTGCACGAGTTCGCACTGAGTGATTTGAGATTGCATTGATAAGTTTATAGCTAATATGCTTGCTTGCATAGCTGGACAGAAGAAAGGTACTCCGTTTTTCGTATACGAATTGCAAAAATAAATCAGCACATTTAATAGTTGATACACGTCCGTCAATATTGTCTTTATTATTCTTTAATCATAATGTCAAAAACAAAAGTCTATATACAGTCAACTCTCTCTATACCGGCGTGAGTGGTTTGGCAGTTTTTGGCCGTTATTCCTTAACCTGTATTGCAGAGGCAAATTTGCCTGTAATTTGGATTGACCAGCAAAATCGCTTTATAACACTGATCCTACTTTGCAGAAAGTTGTAGTTTTCAATTATATCACAGCGATAAGACAAGCCATACGTTGACGTGCTCGTCACAATAGAATAAACAATCTCGATACGAAGCTATCATGTAGACATCATGACGAAGTCTTAAGAATACAATTGCAATATGTGAACGATCTTCTTGTTATATCATTCGTATCTCTCAAAGATATCATATGAATGAAACAGTCGTCGGATCTTACAGTGTCTGTAATGATCAGTACTAGATAGCGATATCGGTAATATATGATAGTTATATATGAACGAGACAGTTGAGAGCCGTACTAGCTATTATACTAATATCGTAATTGCATTTTTACGATATCAAGCATTCTGCCATCTATTAAAATATCATTTTGAAATGTAATGACATTCGATTGTTCGAAATGTAAGCTATGTACTGATAGTGAGAGAAAAACTTGATATAATCATTGTTCGTATAAACATCCTTTACCTCGTCAATTAATAAATCCAATAAATTTATTGATCGATTGCTTCGAATCAGTATCAAATTAATATTATTTACGAAAAACTTTCGTTAGTATCTAACATGTTTATCTTGAGTGAACACGGTCGA